GCGAAGTGATGCTGCTAGAACAGAGCCACATGGGATGTGATTAGTCCCATCTGGACATCCACATCTATTCTTATGACCCCTCGTAAGTAATCATTCTCGATGTTTTGTTCTTTTGCTTCCATCAAGACGTACATTTCCTCGGTCTCATTTTATGTCCATGTGACCGCCACACTCCCTTCAAACTGGGCTATTCAGAAATATGAACAGAATAGGATTAAATGTATTACTTTATTTGTTTTGTAAGGTCTGATCATGATTAGATTCAGTGGGCATACCTGAATTTGGATTCTGCCAAGAAGTAATACATGCAGATTTATACAAACTAGTGGTGCCAGAACTTAGTTGTAGTAATATAAGTGCTCATTGGTTAGTGTCTGGTATATCGTGTGTGTGTATTTCTAGGATTTGAGCTCAGGGCCTTGCACTTGCTAGGCAAGCACTGTACCACTTGAGTCACACCTCCAGCCTTTTTAAAGTTATTTTTCAGATAGGGTCTTGCTTTTTATTGCCCAGGCAGGGCACCATGATCCTCCAACATATGGCCTCCCATGTAGCTGGGATTACAGATGTTAGACACCACACCTGACCATAGATCATCTTTTTGATAATCCACTTTTTATTTCAGTCATTGAATTTTTCCATTTCTCTAAGTTATTCTCTTATAGTCATTCAGTTACATGCTGAGTTAAAGATACTAAAAAAATATTTAGAGTCCCCTAGGACCCAGATTACACATATTTATGAAATTTCACATAATCAGTGACATAGGACCATGATACCTAGCTGGGGTAATGTTCTTACCATAAATTCAGTCTCCAGAAAACATCCTACATTTTTAGAGAGTGTAACAGATCTTGCAAAGAGACTATATACACCATAGGCATTGCTGAGGAAATGTGTTAGTAGCACAAGAGTGGAACTGTGTTCACATATCAAATTTAAGAAAAGAAAATCCTTTCATCTAAACTTTCTTCTCTAGGGAAAAGGTGAGGGCGACATAGGAAGAGCTTATTACAGAATCCTTTAGCAGCCAGAAATTTCATTGACAATTTTGTCAATGTCAAATTTGTTAATGCTTGGCTGTCTTCTCAGAGGTCCATTGTGAATTCCTTGATATTATTAATGGTGCACCTGAAAAATCAAGCAATATTTGTACTATTTGGGTAATAGTTATGTTAAATGATTCTTTTATACAGCATCAAGCTTATCAGATTATCTTTTTTCCTAATAATGAATACCTCATCTTTTCCAATTTCCTAATCAAATGCTTCCACATTATCTTGAAGCACAGCCAGTTCCAGCTGCATCTATTCTATACTCTCGGCTTCAATTATGTCAAATTATCCAGCCTACTTACAGGTCCTTAGGTTCTCTTTTGCTCTGAGACTTAGGTCTGATGCACCTCTTTGAAATCTCATGATCACCATCCATTCAACATAAGTGTGTTGTAAGTAAACACTGCACCAAAAACTATACGAGGCTAAATTTACAGTTATGAAGAAATATCTAGCATATATATCTCCCTAAACTTTATTGCACTTGAGTTCATCTTAGGTGCTTCTCTTTTTCCTGATCCTACTTCCTGAAATACACACGTACCTCATTCTGCATAGCATTGCTTCAGCATCGAGGTTTTCCATGGTAGTGACAAAAGGTAAAGGCAGCTATTTTCTGATTATAAAGTAATAAGTATTTAATATTCTAATATAATATGCTATATTATTTGAATTGACCAGAATATTCAGGTTTCCCATATATTTTCATATTTTATTTTATTCAACCAAATACCTGTAGCTAAAAGAACAATGCAAGAAATAGTGAACAACCCTTTGGGAAATCTAATATTGTCACTTTCTGTCATATTTGGTTGAAATGCTACTATATCTTTTTTCTATTCTTTTGTTATTAGCATATATTAATTGTACAAAAGAATGGGTTTCGTAATGATATTTGCACACATTTACATAGTGAACTTTGATCCTATTCACACTCTCTTATTACTCTCTTTTGTTCCTTCTCCCCCTCCCACTGGTTCCTTTTTCTCTTCCCAAATAGTCCTCTTCTACTTTCATGTCTTCTTTTTTTTAAGTCTAGATTCCACATATGAGAGAAAACATGCAATATTTGTCTTTCTGAGTGTGGATTACTACACTTAACATGATGATCTCCAGTTCCATCCATTTTTCTACAAATGACATTTCATTCTTTTTTATGGCTAAATGAAATTCCATTGTGCATATATACACCACATTTTTCTCTATTTATGTGTTGATGGGCACCTAGGCTGATTCTGTAACTTGAATATTATGAATCATCTGATAAACATGAATATGCAGATATCTGTATTGCATGCTGACTTAGCTTCTTTTGGGTATGTACACAGGAGTGGTATCACCAGGTCAGATGGTATTTCTAGTTTTATGAGGAGCCTCCCTACAGATTTCTGTAGTGACCGAACTAATATGTATTCCCACTAACAGTGCGTAAGGCTCCTTTCCCCTGCATCCTTGCCAGCAGGGTCTCAATGTAATTTTGATTTGCGTTTCTGTGATGGCTAAAGATGTTGGACATTTTCATGTATTTTTTGGCCATTTGTACTTCTGAGAAGTGTTTGTTCAGTTCACTTATCCATTTATTGATTGGATTATTTGTTCTTTTGGTGTTTAATTTTTTTGAGTTCTTTATATATTCTGTAATATTAATCTCCTATCAGATGAATAGCTGGCAAAGATTGTCTCTGGTCATTGTTTCCTTTGGTGTACAGAAGCTTTTTAATTCGATGCAATACCATTTGTCAACTCTTGTTATTATCTCCTGAGCTACTGGAGTTCTATTCAGAAAGTTGTTGACTATGCCTATATCTTGAAGTATTTTACCTATGTTTTCCTCTAGTAGTTTCAAAGTTTCAGGTTTACATTTAAGGCCTTTGATCCACTTTGAGTTGATGTTTGTGCAGGGTGAGAGATAAGGATCTAGTTTCAGTCTTCTACATGTGGATATCCACTTTTCTCAGCACCACTTGTGGAAGAAGCTGTCTTTTCTCAATTGTATGATTTTGGCATCTTTGTAGAGAATCAGATGACTGTGACTGTGGGGGTTTATTTCTGGGTCCTCTATTCTATTCCATTAGTCTACATATCTGTTTTGTGTCAGTACCATGCAGTTTTGGTTACTATATCTCTGCAGCATAGTTAGGAGTCACATATTGTGATACCTCCAGCATTTCTCTTTTTGTTCAGGATTGCTTTGGCTATTCTGGGTCTTTTGTGCTTCCATATGAATTTTAAGACTGTATTTTGTAAGAAATACTATTTTATCTTATGAAAGAAAGTCAAATGAAATAATTCATCATTTTTTGAATAATTATTTTTAGTTAAAATTCTTATCTTTGTACTGCATGTCCCTGTGTCCTTCATTTTCAGGTCCTTCTTGTTCATTCTGTCTTTTGTACTTTAAAGAAACTCCTTTTCTCCACGAAAAATAGAAGAGCGAAGACTCACCATTAAGCATCCAAGATGACTCAGGCTGCACTTCTTTCTTCTGATATCATTTGCAGTTGCCCTTTGATGTTAGAAGCCATGTTTTATTACCTACCACCCCACAAAAACTCTATTGCTTGGGATATAGCAAGTGCAGTGCATGGTTTCTAAGTGAATGACTGAGTGAATGCCTGATATCACAACTTATGATTGTTTAACCTCTTTAATCTAAATTACATTCTAACTCAGACTGTATCATTTTGAACCTCTGTCAAATAGTTTTAATAGTGCATATATGCATCTATTACTCAGTGGATGTTTAATGAGAGCAGAACATGTTACGTATTTTGGAGCCTTATCATGAAAAGCCAAAATTTGGCACACAGTATTTCAAAATCTGTCTTGTTCCAATTAGTCAAGTCAAGGAATGAATTTTCACTCTGAAAACTAACCATTGACTCAACAGATCAGTTACTATGATTACTCTCCATTAGACTTCCTGTGGTTGGAATGCTGTGTGAAATTCTAGAGATGGCAATTGTTTTTGGAAAACCATCTGTGTTTCTTAAAATATTTAAATATAAACCTTGCTTTTTAGAGAGTGCTATAGATCAAGTTCAACAGATGTCCACTGTTCTTGCAAACATATATTGAACACCTTTTATATGATATGAGTTGGATATATATATGAAACTGATAATTATTCAAATTACTTATAATTTTGTAGCCAAAGATAGAAATAAAGTAGCATACAGTATTATGAATTCTACAAAAGAAGCAGGTATAATGAGCAGAAAGAGAGGACTAATTAACACCACAGAAGGCATTAGGGAAGGAAGGCTTCCTGCAAGAAACGGTTCTGAGTTAGCTTTTAATGGTGATAGCAGGTTTTGTCTTGTGGGTGACTATCATTAGGGAAAATGATCCTGATATACTTGATGTATTGATTTATAAAAGTGTCACATTTTAAGGAATAAACTTTTAAAAAGCAAAGACCTGAAAAGTGTTTGACTCCTCACATTAGCACCTAATTCCCCTGTCTGTTCTATGGTTCATGCAGTATTGGAGAAACAACTGAATTGAACCCTCCTCTATTAATGGATTTGTATCTGCACACATAGGATAATATATTTTCTGCTGCCATTTTTTATGGTTCCATAAATATTTCTATCATTAACATTTCTAAAAAATGGAGAAAAGAGCTCACATGTGCTAGTAGAAATTCAGTGTGTTTTATAGAACACTGCTACTCTTGATATAGCCTACGGGATGTGACTTTTCATAAAATCCTAATGAATTTCTAGATTTGTCAGCTGTTTCCAAACAGATGCACTCTGCTAATCTAATGGAAACATTTTGAGCCCAGATCCCAAATATCAATAGCTTTTAGTATTGCAAATTAGTTTGTCTGTTTCGGAAATTGGGCTGTGTGGTTCTTGATAAAAAAGTAGCAAGTAATTTTATATGGATGTTTTATTTGACTGCCTTGCCAGCGTTTGATGCTCATATTTTTCTTCGCAGAGTTTTAAGCTGAATGTGGATAGTCATTGTGCTCTCAAGGAAGCTGTGGAGGAGGAAGGACACCAACTTCTCGAGCTTATTGCATCCCACAAAGCAGGTAAATCCTCCTGAAATATTGCAAGTCTTTATGTCTCCAGACTATTAAGAATGAAGAAGCATTGCTGTAAATTACTGCGTATATTCACTTCCTTATGTATTATTAATATTTACATTATCAGATTGACCTTCAAGATTTATAAATGTTTCATATACTGCATACAATGCTGTGATACTTAGAAGATGAAATACTGCCTCCAAATGGTCTGTTCATTTTATTTTGGGCTTGCTGTTCACCTGAGTTTCAATTGAAATCACATTCCTGAAAACTTCACATTGACATGCTTTTTGATGTAGGTGCTCTGGAAATAACATTAAGATAATGAATGAGAATTGTGCTTATAGTTATAATGCATATGCATTAGGGTACTTATAGATATCATTACAGATAGAAGGCAGGCAGTCTAGAGGTATCTGATTATTTCCTGCAAATAAATGCACATGAACATGTTGCCTGTTCTTTGCTGGTTTTTGCATTAGCAGAGTTTTTGGCCTTCAACCAGTTCTTAGCCTAATATTAATGCATTTATGAGGTACAGATTATAAATAAAAACAGCTTTATCATTTGGTTATGCTTATCCATAAGGCAGGATGAATTACAGTTTGGCTCTTTGAGCTTTACTATTGCTAAATAGGAAAAGAACAGCATTAATCAGATGTGTTAATGTTGAAGACTGCTGTCTTAATTCTGGCCCACTTGCTATATTTCTGTATATTTTCCTATTTCCATATGTTGTTCTGATCATTATATAGTCCCTATACAAACACACAGGGCCTTTTATTTGGAATGTGAAGCTACAGTATTAGTAATTTTTATACATTGTTGTTTTTGTTCCACACGCATTTTTCAGTCAGTATACTAAGTCAATTTCCAAACCAAGCATCTATGTAGTTATCCCATTTTTGTATAGTTATGTCTTGTGTCAAGAATTGCCAGTCTGTTCTGAGTGACAAATACTAATATGGCCATTGATGGGAAGGTCATTTAGAAACATGTATATTGCTTGAAATAGCCATTTAAGTTGCTAAAAAAAATAATAATTGGTAAAGATGCAGTCAGGCCCACAACTTATGCTTTCCCCTCCTTTTGGAGAAGGTCTGAAGGACATGCTGAAGATGATTGCAAGTCAATGGAAAGAACTGCAGAGGCAAATCAAACGGCAACACAGCTGGATTCTCAGAGCTCTGGATACCATCAAAGCTGAGATACTGGCTACTGATGTGTCTGTGGAGGATGAGGAAGGGACTGGAAGCCCCAAGGTAAGTGGCTTGAAGTTTGCCTTATTTCCTCTTATTTCTGTCTTCTTTTGAACTAGGCACCACTGAAGTTTTCTTTCCACCCCTAAGGCTTTTCGTTTCTAGTGGGTAAACTTTATACATCCATCTATCTAGCTATCTATCTCTATATAAACAAAATGAAATGGCTTGGTTTAAAACAAAACAAAACAAAAGGCTACAACTTTCAAGTTTTCCAGGAAGAGGTCTTTTGTACAAAAGTGGCAAGGTACAAGGGGGACAATACTTTAGGGGTGGAAGAAAGGGGGACATAAAGCATTTAGTAAACAAAACATAAAGCATCTTTAACATGAATAATCAGAATGGTTTTAAATTGTTTTGTTGCAACTATAAATCACTATAATCAGTGCAATCACTCAGCTCTGACATCCATTAGCCGCTTGGTTACAGCAAATTAACAAAGAAGAGAGAAAGTGATTCATTATCTCATTCCTGTTAATGACTATCAGATGCATTGCCTAATTAGGGGATGGTCATTGTAGTGGGAAGAAGGTCATATGCTTTGCTACAAATCTTTTTGCTCTGAATATAAGTTCTCCATAATGGTGCATGCAAAAAACACAACAAGTATTTTAAAAATGAGTATTGACATGTTTTGGTTATCCATTTTAGATTTTCAAAGTAACCCATGAAGCATATGCAGCTGAATTTTAAATGAAGCATCTTTTACTACAGAGTGCTTCTGTTCTAAAAGCATCTTTGGACTCACATGTGGAAAATAATTCTATTAATTTGATGTTTTTCTCTACTTTCTTCTTACTTTTCTGTCCTGTTGTGAAAGTAAATGTAGAAAACCAGTCACATAATAGACTTAAGCAATGAAACATATTGTAACATGGGGGAAACAGGTTTTAGAGTTCCTGGTTTCTATTCCTGGCATGACAAAATAAGCAAATCATCACCAAATCACATTTATGCAGCATCCACGTGGACTGGCGTTGTGCTAAATGCACACAGAGAAAGTTACGCAAGCATGCTGCCCTCTAATTCTTCAATGCAGGCGGAGGAGAAACCTGAACCAGCCCTGGAGTGCTGGGACCTATGGAGCCAGTGAAAAACTCAGGCAATTTATGGCTCGGGACCCTCAAAGAACAACAACCTTTAGCTTTATTTGTTGGAAACAGGATGAATTGATGCACTTGGCTCCTCAGAGGAGGTCACATTTCAGGAAACACTTGAAGGAAGGAAGAGAGGTGGCTTGGCACATAAGCACATATTGTAGGAACTGATACAATGAAAGGATCAAAGCTGCACCTCATAAGGTAGAATGGAGAGTGCATTCTGCAGACTTCTCAGGACTATTTTAAGGAGCAGGCTGTGGGGAGAAGTTGATTGGATTAAAGCTTTCACTATGGAGGAATGAGAAAGGACACAACTAAAAACTCAATTGTATTTTATTAAGTGATACTGAGTACTTTCTCTTTAAGAGCTATTTTGGGTGTATTCTGCATGCCAGAAGCTATTCTACAGCATTTCTATATTCTGTATTCTCTCTCTTAAGTATCACAACAAACATAAAATAGTTCTACTTTAATCCCCAATGAAGAAGAGGAGGCATTGAGAGGTTAAGCAACTTGCTTAAGGGCACATAGCTACTAAATAAATGGCAGAGCTAGTATTTGAATCTGTACCCTTTAGTCCCAGAGACCATGTTTGTCCCCACCTAGAGCATTGCCCCTCAATGTCATTGCTCAGGCCAAGTATAGTAGCAGTCACTAGAGATGAACAGTTAAGACTTAGTGCCTGTCTCATGGAGCTTGTGGTGAAGTGGGCACACAGACTTTAACCTAGTAATCCATGCCCTCACAGACTGTGATATGAAAGAAAACAAAAGGGAGAGGCAAAAGATTGAGCTGGAAGAGGTGATTTGGATCAGGGAGGGCTTCTTTGAGGAAGTGACATTCTGTAAGTGGACCAGTATGGTCAGGGAAGGAGGAGCGTGCACAGAAGCTGAGTAGCCTGTTGTCAGTTAAGAGGAGGGCTTTGGAGTAAGTGGGTTGCAGTGTAAAACCCTGTTCCTGGCTATAGTGTTGGCTGTGGTTGGGTGGAGTGGAGTGAGTGAGGGCAGAGGGAGGGTGTGCCAAAGTAGAACTCCAGAGATGGTGCAGTTACCCAAATCAATAAAAGACAGGGCCAGTTTGAAATCAGTTCCTTGTAGGGAGACATTGGCTTAGAATGACAATTATTCAACCCAGAGGAGAAAGTATTGTCACAAGAGAAGTAATAGCGTTTCTCCAAACCAGTCCTAGGGCCTTCCTCAGGCTATACTGGATTTCAGAAGAGGTTTTATAAAGTGGAAGCAATCTATATTATGCAGCTACATGATTTAAATATCTTTGATTTTCCCAAATTTCTACAACGAATAAGAACTATTGTAAACAGAAAAATAAAGAATGTTTAAAATACAAGAATTAGAAAGTGATTTGCAAGGTAAGATAGATGACACTGAGCTAAGTGAAATTGGAATATGAATTTAAATATGATGAGCAGCCAGGTGCTGGTGCTTATGTCTGTAATCCTACCTCTTTGGGAGGCTGAGATCAGGAAGATCGCAGTTCCAGGCCAGCCTAGGCAAAAAAGTTTGCAAGGCCCCGTCTCAATGGAAAAAAAAGCTAGGTGTGGTGGCACGTGCCCGTCACCTGGGCAAAAGTGAAAACTTCATCTCCAAAATAAGCAGAGCAAAAAGGACCGGGGGTGTGGCTGAAGCAGTAGAGCACCTGCCTGGTAAGTGTGAAGCCCTGAGTCCAAACCCCAGTACCTAATACAGCTGGTTCTTAACATTTGGGTGCCTGACTTCTAAAAATTTAAATTAAAGAAAAAATTAAAAATCTGTTTATTTCAATCATTCCAAAAGTCTCATCAGTTTATAAAGAATAACATTCTTGTTTTTCTTATTGATAGCATTTCTATACCAAAAAATAGTTACAAGAAGAGGGACACTGGGAATTTGACACTTTGACCTGGCAAGAGCCAGACATAGTTCTCTCTTCCCTACGTTGGGCTGAATTTCCTCTGGACAAGTAAGCTCATCCATACCAAACAGTGAATGTAAAATCAATTTAGGACAAGAAATGTATTTCTCAAGTTAAGTTTAGGAAATAATGGAGACATCAGAATGACCATTATTTTTATTTGTTCAATGTTTATGAACCGTTTCTCTTAGTCCCTTGGACAAACAGAATGATAGAAAGCCTGAGCCTTCCTTTTCAGAGTCTGAACCTAAGTTCAATGACTGGTACATGCTAGCTGGGCATCCTTGAGAAAATTGCTTAACTTCTCTGTGTGTCAGTTTCCTCATTTATAAAACAGAGATAATGATAATATCCACCTCAACATATCCATCTGTGATACAGATTTTTTTTTTTAAAAGTGCTTAGAACAGAGCCTGGTACAGACTAAATCCTAAATAAGGGTAAATGAAATTACAAACTTTCATATTCTAATGATAAGATCAATAAACAAATAATTATAATAGATCTAATAAAACTAATAGGAACTGGCACAGAGCAGAAGAGTGCACAGGAAGGGTATTAAGAAAATAATTACAGGGGAGTTGATGTTTTAAATTAAGTTTCCAAAGAATTTTTGCCAAGGTAGAAACTAACTGGCAGAGAGAACATCATGCCCAGAGACCTAGAGGTAGAAAAGGTGTGGTATGTCTGGAATCCAGGATGATGATTAGGCTGGCTTGCCTAATCACAGTGACAAAAAGTGATCCCAGATGAGTGACTTGGGCAGTCATTGACACTATCCAAGGCAGAGTGATCTTCATACATTATACAGAAATAAATATCTCTCTATATATTGTTTAAAAGGAAACTCTTCTTGCCATATTGTACTAAACAGTGTATGCTTGAATAGGTTACACTAAAGTTCAAGACTGAAAGCTGGCTTCAGCTTCTTACACATCATGTCAGTCTTCTTTCCATGGTGTGACCTTGCACAGGTCATGTACAGACTGTGCCATGAAATGCATCTCTAAGACAAGCAGTTATGATCATCTATTTCATCTGAGACCTAAAAAAGGAACTAAAATTAAAACACACACAAAAAAAGTAACTGTAGAATTCATCTTAGGTTTACTTCAGAAGCTATGGGGAGCTTGAGAAGCATAATAGAAAATCTAAGGAATATATCTAGGGGGTATTTTTCTTTCTTTCCTTGTTTGAGAGACTGTAGAAAAGGACTTGGTCTTAGAAATCTTGTAAAGGAGGAGGATAGGAGGAAATTCAAAGACTCTGGGAAACTTCTCCCCCAGGACTCAGCAGCATACCTTATTTGTTGTATTTCATTTTTTTAAAAAGTGTTTTCCCAGGACTGTGAGATCTTTTATACATGGAAATAGAGAATAGAATTCAGCAGTTCTAGAAATATCAGCTTTAGCACTCACATCCAAGAATTGAAAATATGCTTATAATTATGTATTTTAAGATAGATTGATAAAAGTTTATCACCTTAAACTAGGCTTTTACTATGTTAAATTTTTTAATGGTGTGTAGTTGAAGGGATTTCAAAACACAGTGAATATCCAGTGCCTAACAAAGGCTACATTCTGTTTTTGACCTTTCAAGGAAAAACTCAAAAAATCCTGAAAATAAGAAAGCATTTAAAATTTTTTTCACATTGCTTCCTTTAAAATGTTCTTATCCTCTACTTACTTTTCTCCTATAAAGCATGCATCATTACAGATGTCTCAGAATCCAGGCCAGGATTTTCCCACATGACTTATCAAACTTTGCATCACTGAAAGCATTCAACAACAGTTCCTTTGTCCTTTTTAAGGAAACACATAAGTTTTTAGAACAAAGAATATTTGAGGATTTTATTATAAATTCAGAAAACTTTACATCTACTACAAGGGTGACCTAATCTGGGTCCCAACCAACATCTTCATTTCCTTAGTCAAAGGAGCTGGGTTGATTACTTTGAACTCTGGGATTGCCCTTATTTTATCTGTTTTCTTTGAGGCTCTTAGACTGAAGTCATCATCCTTTGGAAATGGATATCCACTCTTGAAGGTCATCAATGATATCTGTTGAACAATAGCAGGAGAGTAAGCTTACAGACACTTCTTAAATATGTTTGCTCAGTTGTAGAAGTGACAGTTTAGATATTGGCTGAGAGTGGGCATCTGTGTGGCCTTACACTTCAGTGTGTCACTGGCAATCTGGCCTTTCTTTAGATGCCAAGTGAGGGAGTCCAGTATTAACACGAGTTTTTTGTGTTTGTTTTCTAGATGCCCAACTCTGAACCCAGTATTTATGCTAATGAATTATGGGCAACTTTAACCAAATGTGACAAAGGAGCTGATCTGGGGAACATCTTTACAAGATGTTTTCTCTGTATTATATGGTGTCTTTAGGTAATAGTGCAAGTAGATATTATCACCCTGAAATGGAATTTGATTCTGACTCTTTCAAAGCATAGGTGACACAAAGCATTGTCTCGACATTTATGTTCTGTTCTGTTCTGGTTCAGGAGCTTATGTAATTAGCATGTTCTTTAATATAGGCTCTTCAGAAACAGCATTAAGGTAATGAATGGAAATTGCATTTATGCATTGTTAGTTCCACAGACACTGATACACATATGCATAGTAAACTACTCAAGACACTTTTCTCTCTTCCTCATTCAAAAAATAAAGCAAGGTATATGTTGTCAAAGGAACCAGAAATTATACAGTAAGAGTAAATCATATCTAATGTAGTAGAGAGAAAGACAGTAGGCAAAGGCCTGACTGCTGTTTATTGACTATTGACAGAAAACACTGCCCAGTGCTGAGCCAGACATGAGAGGAGACATGCTTTTCTGCTCAGCGGTCTTATCATCTCAGTGTAAGCACACCGTGTAACATCTTGTCTCAAGTAGTTTGAGCTATCTTAGATCTAGAATAATAGATCACCTGAGATTCAGATCATCTTAATTAGGATGCTGGCAGATTGAAATGGAATGGGGCTCTTGCTGCAAGCAAATGAGTAGTAAATGCATTACCAATTCCAACTCTTCTGTGCAGAGCACAGAACTAAAAGTCAGTATCCCATCCAGTTCCTCTCTTGCTGAACTATACAATCATAGTCCTGATTTGCAGTACCTGGGGAGAGCTCTTTCTTCTACTGTGGATTTTTCAATAGTCCTTTTTTTTGTTGTTGTTATCAGAAAGGCAACTTTTCTTCAAAAGTGTTTCTTGAAAGACAGAAACAAAAGTGAGTTATTTCTTTGAAGATCAGTGTTACTAAATTTGTGATAGAATCGAACAAAAAATAGTTTCTCTAATCTCCTTGAGGCACTTCAATTTGCATATTATCAGATGTGTGGGTGGATCCAAGATGAGATTTTTTTCTTTTTAGTCTGCCACTCTAATGAGGTGACTGGAAAAAGGTTAAGAAAAGAAAAATATGCAGTAGGTTAAAGAACATGCAGTGGTTGGTCCTGTCATGGTCATATGGTGTATAAAGCCATAACTCATCTTGCTTTTTCGCACTACTTTCATTGCTGGTGGCCTTGATGCTAGAAACATTTGGCACATCAAGAATTTTGGAGTGTAACCTAAGGTTAGTAGGTGGAAAGAAATAATAAAGACACTAATGAAGTGGAGTCTGATAAAACAGCAAAGAATCAATGAAACAAAAAGGTGGTTCTTTTGGGTTGTAATACACATGTGAATTGAAGCAATGCTAGCAATCACTCCGTATAGCTGTTCTTATCTCAAACTAACAAAAATGCTATGTCTTTCTTATTATTGCTTATGTCTTCTCTTCAACAAAATTGGAGAAGAACGCAGAACAGGATCTGCCTGGAAGCAAGAGCGGTGGTGGGGAGAGACTAGGGGTGGGAGTTAGGGGACAGAGATTGCCCAAACAACATATGCACATATGAATAAATTAATTTTTTAGAAAAAGAAAAAAAAAAACCAAAAAGGTGGTTCTTTGAAAAGATAAACGAGATTGACAAACCTTTAGCCAAAGTAACTAAAATAAAGAAGGAGGAATCCCAAATTAATAAAATTAATGAAAGAGGGGAAAGAGATAAAAGAGGGGAAAACTGAGCAGAGGTGGCTGAAGGAGAGGGATAAAGACTTCTGAGAAGGCAGCATCTCCAGGACATGAGAACACTTCCTTGAAGAATGGAGGCCAGGAAGAAGGGGAGGGATTAAGAAATGACCTGGAGTTTCTCAGAACAGGTCTGCTGGGGGAAAGACCTTAAAAAGCTGATGTGGGTGGGCTGTTCTTGGGATTGAGAGGAGGGTTTGGGAGGGGCACAGACATACTTACAGGTGATCAGAAGGCCCTCTTGCAACTTTGGTTCAGTCCTGGAAAAGAATCCAAGATTAGACCAAGAGCTACTCTGAGAGGAGAGGGATAACTTGGAGGTGAGAGGAAAAGTAGCTGGGAAGTAGGAGACCAGGACTGGATCCAGCTAGGAGAGGGTCAGATACTGTATCGAGATCAGGGACTCTCAGGAAGCGGGGGGTTGTGGAAGGGGGACTGTGTGGATGACTGGATGTGGGGGACACCATGGAGGTGATTTTTTTTTTTCTGGGTACTAAAGTTTGAACTC